ATTGTGCCCCCCGACTGGTACGCCCTAGGTGAATGCCTAATTTGCCTAGCGATCGCGCTGTCCCTGCCCACATGTTAGATACAAACTGATCATTGACAGAGCTTGACCTGATATTGTTCAGTCAGAAGCCTCAATATTAGATTAATCCCCAGAATGGTCTGAGCCTGTTCTGATATCATGCAGTCAGAACCTCCTACACTGGTGTGAGAAAACCCACTGGGAGTTCGGGGTTTTCTCTGAGCATTCATCTGTTTAGTTTATTCGGTTAGTTTATGCCACATTGGTTTGGTAAATTGAAACTACCGAACACCGACCACCCTCCTGGCTCATTGACTTCAAAGGAGCCCGTCAATTAAGTGCTCTCTCAGGGTGGCCGCCATTCGTATATACGAATGCCACATGGTGGAGAAAACAGCGGCCATCTTGTTTGTTCGGGACAAAGGCAGCGGGACTTGGTCGTCGAGTGTCTGGAACTAAAATCGGATGTGACATTTGTGGGGATACCTTAAGTATAAAGGGGTGTTCTGAGTTTTGGGGTAAATGTGTACACTTCGCCTGGAGATAATTGGGTTATTCCTTAACTTATCTCATTATCTCACAGATGGAGACAGGGAGTGTTTAAGTGTAACTGTACCTTATGATTGGCTATTTGGTTTGTGTACTGTGGGAGGTCCTCCTGCAAGGGGACCTCCATAAAAGCCTGTGTGGTCTCAATAAACATCAGTCTTGTTACACCCTTCATCATGTTTCGGCTGGTGTTTGGGTACCTGATTACTACTTGGGGAAAGCTGTACTAGAGGATTTTGTTTCTTTGGACTTTAACTACCTACCAGAAGAACCGAACGGCGAGCTATAATCACCCTGGCTCTCAAGCCATTCGGCTCAAATCATACGAACCCATAGCTACCACTTCAGGGTTCGTTACAACTGGATATAAATCCCAGCACTGTCTGAGCCTGTTCTGATAAGGTGCTGTCTCATCCGACATTGAATACAGTATGAGCTTTAACTTAACCGTCCTATTAATGAGAAACCAGGGTCACACACATTACATTGTACCTGCCTGAGAGTCTGGTAGCGACAAAAAGAGCATAGTAGACAATACCCATTTCTCATTACAAGAACACAATATGAATGCAACATGCAATCTCAATATAACCTTGACATGCATTTTATCAAAGAGAAAGTGCCAGTTGATATCACTAAACATATTCTGCCTGAATAGATTTGATACATTGCAATCTGTGAACATTCCACTTAAAATGCATTTCCTTTATCAAACCCCAAATATTAACTCATTATGTCCCCGGGATTCAGCAATGGTTAGTTTTATTATAATGATAAACGGGGATGTCTCTGTCTGGAGGTTTCTTTAATCATTTGACCTCCTGGCACTCGTAGAATTACTGTCTCATCCTCAAATTAGAAAATATATATGAACCACGAGATGTGAACCTGTCAAGTCTCACAGGCCTTGCACTAATGTCCTCTGTCGAATTCATTGCGCTGTGTCCTACTGTTCGCGTGGTGCGTGTACTGTGACCACGTGTTTTAAAAATCCATACATGTGGGGTTTAATCAGTAAAATGGAACCAGTAATCTGTAGCCCTCATTAAATCCATTGCTGCTGTGGATTCTGCGTTTTTATAAAAATAGATTCTTCAAAAAAAGATGATTTGAAAAAGAGATGATTTGTCATCAATAGATAGCCCTTCTGTTACTGTATCCTTACAGTTCCCATGATGCTTTGCTTTGCCAGCCATTAGGCGGTGGGACGATAGCACAATTGAGGTTGTTCTTCTGTTACCATTAAACAGCTATCTCTCGATTTCCCCATTGTTTTAAAGTGGTCAACTGATAAGCAGTTCACCCCATCATGAAAGATCTGTTGAGATATTATCGATCTGATGGCTTTTTCCTAACCTTTTATCCTGAAAGGGTTAAGGTAGCGGTGCTAGTCACAGTTTCAGTGTATCAGATATCTCCTCTGTTTATGTTGCTATATTTTCACACATTTCCACACATCAGTGATGGTGCGGCTGCAGCTGAGAGCCAGTTATAAAAGCTTGGCAAGTGAACGTGAATTAATCGGCAGAGAGTTTGATAGATGTGAATTGCTGTGGACTCCTTCCCTGAGGCAAGAGATAATGCACCTTATTGAGAGGGGGATACAGAAGCCCAAAAGTGCTGTTGAAAATGTTTGGTAATTGTATGGCAATGGTGCAATGCAGATAAATGAGGGATGATGATTCCCCATCCCCCCATCCTTTAATAAAGGGGTTGATTGAAGTATTTCATTTTCATTTAACGTTTTTCTAGTTTCCTCATAGGAACATGAGTTGTAAATGCCGAAATCCTGGTTAGTTGGTGGGTCCTAAAAATGTTTTGGGAAACACTTCTCTAGAGCAAGATATTTTATTCTAACCAGAACCCAAACTACCTTTCACATGATAATCAAGTATTAGTTAATTGGACGCTTATTTAGATTGCACCGGGCCCCAGGAAATTAAATAGAATGCCACGTTAAGTAGAGTGAACATACTTAATCCAATATTGCTAGTAATGATCTTTGGGATGGTTGTCCCTTACCTTCGTTTGAGTAACACATATGTGGAGTTATTTTTATTCTACTATTTTTGTCCCGCACAGACTGGAATGTGAAAGATGCATCCATACCTGCGCCTCTTCTTTTATCTGTTGTGTGATATTAGTGGCTGAATTTATCTCTGTTATTAAAGCAATAGAACACAATTCAACCACAAACTATTGACTTCCAATTGAACGCTATTGAGTTCCAAACATATACCTATTACTTTGAAGTTCTTTAGCCTTCCCCAGCTTCGTTAAGCTTTAATAATCAGGGTTTCCCTTTTGAAAATCCAGAACTTCTACCTAATGTCTTGGGATGAACTTAATTTACCCACTACACCCATATCTGCCTGACTATGCTCTCTTTTCAGGGATAATGGCATTAACTTTTGGACAAGGCAGTGTGTTGAGTTATTGGCCTCCAAATGCGAACCGTGCAATCTTTTATGGAAAACCCTGTTGCAGTGATAGATAATTCTTCTTCATAAAATGGCAATAATTTTCAAAACAACGGTCACAGTCCAGGACTATGTATACTTACCCAAGTGCCCTAGTATAACATCATGCTGTAACTCAGCCCATGTGCAGCATCATGAAGTCAAAACCCCCTCCGTTACTCTGTCAATTTGCCCTTTACGGTATAATGCACAAAATCTGTGAAAAATCAGCAAATGCCAATTATGCTAGTTCCCAGCTAAAATGAATGTGCATTGCAGATCAAGTCTGCAGCCTGTCTCATCATCTGGCTTATTGGCTTATTTCTCAGGAGTCCAATATGTCTGGGTCAACGTAAAAAAAAATTAAAAAATAAAAACAAACACAGGTTGGAGCAAGAAGATCAAACACACACAAACATCTAATGCACTCTGTGCATTCCTTTACAGTGCCACTATTTTGCACACACACATAGTTGGTTAAAGGGACGCTATAGTCACCTGAACAACTTTAGCTTAATGAAGCAGTTTTGGTGTATAGAACATGCTCCTGCAGCCTCACTGCTCAATCCTCTGCCATTTAGGAGTTAAATCCCTTTGTTTATGAACCCTAGTCACACCTCCCTGCATGTGACTTGCACAGCCTTCCATAAACACTTCCTGTAAAGAGAGCCCTATTTAGGCTTTCTTTATTGCAAGTTCTGTTTAATTAAGATTTTCTTATCCCCTGCTATGTTAATAGCTTGCTAGACCCTGCAAGAGCCTCCTGTATGTGATTAAAGTTCAATTTAGAGATTGAGATACAATTATTTAAGGTAAATTACATCTGTTTGAAAGTGAAACCAGTTTTTTTTTCATGCAGGCTCTGTCAATCATAGCCAGGGGAGGTGTGGCTAGGGCTGCATAAACAGAAACAAAGTGATTTAACTCCTAAATGACAGTGAATTGAGCAGTGAAATCGCAGGGGAATGATCTATACACTAAAACTGCTTTATTTAGCTAAAGTAATTTAGGTGACTATAGTGTTCTTTTAATTGATTAGGAATGTGCTTATCGGCAGTGGTACACAACTGCAAACTGTGACACGCACTATGCCTGCCTGCATGGTAGAGATGACAACGTTTAACCTGGAGAAATGCGTGAAAGAATCATGGGAAATCTTCAACTTCATCAGACCCGGTGTAAGATCACTGAGATTGCGGAACACCAGCCTCAGCACAAACACATACATACAATGCTGGACTAGCAAAGCCCCTCTTAATCACTGCCTGCTGCAGCTCACCCATGCAGTACTGTGCCTGCAGACAAGGATGCTTTTAATAAGAAGATGAATTATTCTGTGAGGGTTCATTCATTCTAGTAGCCCGGGTGGACTTCCCATGTCTGCCTTTCCTCCTTGCACTCCAAATTGGAGCCTCCCAGTAATCCGCGTTATGAAATAATTTTTAAGCTTTCCTTTAGTCTTTACAGCTAAATATTAAAGTGTTCAATTTCACATCATATTTATTTTTGTGCAAATTTATTTATATACATACCTATTTTACATCAGCACATAGATGGGGTTATGTACTTTGTAACTCCTTTTTTACACATATAATTTATCTTTCTTTTATATGTGATCGATTAAGCTATTCTCATCCCACACATTTCTTCTAAAAAGGCACAAGCAATACATTCCCCCCTTGATCTTTTGGTAAAATGTAAACCTGTATACACCTTTTAATTTCACCACAAATGGGAAAAATATATGAAAATTATCAAGAGTGTGAATGTGAGTTATAAACACAAAAACAAAACAAAAACATTTTTTTTTTTACTGTGAATATTAGCAGAATTGAAAGAAAGGTGTGGATCGTTATTATTGCCAGGAAACTCTGTTGCTTTGTATGCAAGTAGAGAAAAACAAAACCTAGTTTCACAGAATGAAACAACTGATATTTGTGAGCCCTCAGATCAAAGCGTACTGTTTAAAGGACAACACAATAGTTAGGATACAAGGTTGTGTAGGCAGTATAGGCAAGATACAAGAATACAAAACTATGGGAATGTTGGCTTACATCGGGGAAAACCATGACAAAAAAGTTTGAAGCCTAAAGCTGCACTGTAACGCCACCCCGGAAAAATTAGTATTTCTTAAAGATAGAATCTTTATGAAATACTGATTTTGACTGTGTAGGAATTTCACTGAAAGAAATATATTGAGACTAAGTAGGGACTAGCATGTCTGAGTATATTTCCTCCACTTGACTTTCTTAGACTCTGTGTGTAGCTACAGCGTCGATCCCGACAGCAGTGACGGCTGCAGGGAATTGACTCTGTGTATAGAGGATCCCGCATTGTTGTTGGTTCTTCCAAAGACCTAATTCGGAAAAGTATAGCAGTGACGTTGGCTTCTGGTGATGAAGAGGACCCGCTGGAATAGAATGCGAGGTACATAAATCTTACCTTAACCTGCCGGCCACCGGACTCCCAGCGGTGATGTCACCATCAGAGGAAATTGCGAATTCTGCAAAGTCCCAAATTGTTACAGTATCGCTTTAAGTGCGATCGACATATGAATACTGGTATTAATGTAATAATTTGTATGTATCAAGATAAATATTCAGTAAAATTAGTGCACTCCAGCAAAACCTTATCTAGCAACACTGGCTAAACTATCCTCATATATGAGCTTGTTATGTCATGATGTTTCAGAAAGACAATATCTGAATTTACGCGGTACCTTGCTATACCTCCTAACATTTCGAATGTGTCGCATTTATATGTTTTGAGCTGGTAGGCAGTGCGACAAAGGCACCATCTCAGCCCAGCTGTGAGACATGTGGATGGCATTTTTCTTGAAGGTTAAAATAAGAATCAGGAATTCAATTTCCTAGCTAACTTCTGGTCCTTATTCTACTGCCAATTCTGCTAGTTTAGTGTATCAATATATTACCATCACCATCCACATGTAATGCAGGTTACTGGGGCCTGTTAAAGATATTGCCGTCAAAACCCAATAATTCGTGGAAGTATATCACAGAAATCAGAATCTTGAGACCAATTCAAGGATCAAACTTTTAAAGGAAGTTTGAGCAGATTGACATGCCTTAGCGAGGTAATTTGTATCACCATTTCTTACAGCAGAAAGTGCATCTTAAATACAATGGGGCACAAAACGGACACCTAGAGGGGTGTGTACTAAAGGTGGACAAAATGGTGCGTTTCAAAAATTTTCATGGCTAGTTGCCTCTGTGCTTTTAAAAATATGATCGATTCAATACAGCGGAAAATGTTGGTAAGTCATTATGAATTTAAAGGGAATTTTAGCAGAACTGAAATCTGAATTTATTTATCCAATTCAGGAATTCTGGGATACAAGTTTAAATTCATACATTGAAGTCCCAACAATTCACACTTTGTAGTGAATAGCCATGTGTCATCATAAACAGTCATATTTATTTCAGTCACAAACCTATTTACACAGATGCTAATAGTAGACATTAAAACTCATTTTATGGGGAATGAGATGGTTATGTGTGCGTTTGTTTGTGTTGTGTTTTTCTTTTTCTTTTTTTTAACCCAGTAGCGAAGCAACCATCAGCTCAAGTGGACTGCAACTCCATTCATCTAGTTTGAATGTATACATAACCTAGTATTACTGAGAGCTGGCCGAGGAAGAGGGAGATGTAGTCTACTGAATTACCAATGGTTGTCTTCTTCAATATGATTTCTTAGCACTGTTTATATGTTAGACGTTTGTAGGCTATTTTAGCTGATATATTCAGCAGTGAATTTTAGAGAATAGACCACAAAATGGATTACTTTTCCCTCGCCAATTCTCCAGAATTTATAGTTTAGTGAAGATTAAGATTTATTTTACTAGTCACCACTGATCCAGTTTGTGCCATCCTAGTACACAGTCCCTTCTTTACCATGTAATGTAGTTGTCAGCATACCAAATACATCATGGAAATGACAGTCCTATTTATCATTTTTTTAAGTCTCCCCTGCACAGTCTCTGGCATTGTTGTGGCTTGCAGTGCCCTGCACCAGGGTGAATGTCTCTGTACACATTTGGCTACTGGTGGACATTGACCTCCCGGAGAGCCTATGGAATTGGCTCCTTATATGTCTGCTGCTGGTTTTCTTCGTAGTATGGTTACCCTTGGCATAATCCTTGTAGTTCTTGGTCAGTAGAGTATAGAGGAAAGGGTTGATACAACTGTTACTGTAGGTGAGACATGTCGTCAGGTAATTAATGTTCCTCGCTGCTTTTGGGGAGATTGACAGAGATTCAGAGTATTGGGTGAGGAGTTGCCAAATCCAGAATGGTAGGAAACAGGCCCAGAAGACCAGAACTATAGAAAAGATGAGATAGAGTACCTTATTATTTGGCAATCTCTTGGTGTCTTTAAAGGACTCTGTTTGGGACAACCAGTAAGTTATAGCCAATCTAATATACAAGAAACCAATGACAAGTCCTGGACCCACTATACTTGTGCAAAAGAGTACAGTGATATAAACCTTATAGGACATCCTGCTCCATGTAGGTAGGCATATATTCTTATTGTCCTTTTCAACCAACTTAATCATGATAAGCATTGGCAATGTTATCACAAGAGAAACCATCCAGACTCCAAATGTGATGCCTTTCCTGTAGCTCTTTGACCTCTTTATAGATCCCAAAGGGTTGAGCACTGCAAAGTAACGTTCGGTGCTCATGATAGTGAGGGTGAAGATACTGGCATGCATGGTTAAGAAGTCCAAGCTGAAGAGTACACGGCAGCCAATGTCTCCAAAGTACCACTCCTGCATGAAGTAGGTGCCCACTATAAATGGGATGGTGAGCAGATAAAGGAGATCAGCAAGAGCAAGGTTTATGATGTAGACATACATGGAAGCTGCAGTTCGCATTGATTGGCACATCACCACTAAAGTATAGACATTTCCAACCACTCCTACTATACACATTAGGGACAAGATTACCCCAATGGTATATGTGACTACTATGTTCTCTGTGGAGTTAGCGGCAGTAGGCGCCTCCCAAGTGGAATTGAGAAAGTTTGTGAGGTTGGTCTTAAAGGGCAAATCTGTGGTCAGGAATGATCTGCTTTGAGGTTCTTCGTGGAAAGACATATTGAAGTCTCAATGTAGCACAGCGATACCCTGAGTTGGAAAAGCGATAATGTGGTATTCATGGAAAAATCCTCATTTCATTTCCTGAGGGTAAAAGAAATGTATCTTATTAATTTGCTTTCCATGGACTTTACATACAGAATAACTGAAATCTATCAAGTTATAGCAGACAAGAGGATATCTTCAAATAGGTAACTTTGCTTATTTTCACATAGGATAGACAACTTCCAATACATTATATGCTACAGACTTTCTAATATGCAACTCATGAATCCAACAGTATAAAAAAGCACTGGGCACAAAATCAGGAGTGTGGTCCAAGGGAGGATGATTGAAGAAATAAATAAGTTTCAGCTCATATTCACACTGAAACTTTGTCTTTATTTCTTCAATAAACCTGCCTTGGACCACACTCCTGATTTTGTGCTCAGTACTTGTTTGTTCTACTGGATTCACAATGTGAATAATATATCTTGGACTGGTGGGTTCTTTATTTGAGGGCCTTCTCATTGCCTGTGTTTCACTCCAATATGCAGCAGCTAGTAAGGGTAAGTGACTGCTTTTCGATGTGTACAGGTGCATTCTAATGAGGGGGGATCGCTTGCTTCTTCTAAAATGAGAATATATTCCAACAATGAGGTCTGACTGCCTTCTCAGGGGCATTCTAAAATGGGTGATTGGCTCCTTTCTTATAAATTAGGCTGCATTCCATTGAGTAATCCTGGAATTACAGGGTCTAATGGAATACGCTCCTTTTAAATCATGAGAGGCGACGTTTTGGTGAGTAAGAAGAACCTGAGTGATATTGCATTCTAGTGACCAATGCTCTTTGTTAGCACATATCACACTTAGGTGTGTATGAGTACCTCCAACCAATGCATATTGGAACATCTAGCTCATGAGGATGGGGCCAACATGAGTATGTTTGCCCACATAGTAGCAGGCGTTTCTGTGTACCTTCAGTAGTTGTGTATACGGATTTCCATTTGGTGAGGAATGGCACCTCTTTGAGTATGGGTATGTCCATCTGATGAAGATGGGCACCTCTATGAGTATGGGTATGTCCCTCTGATGAAGATGGGCACCTCTATGAGTATGGGTATGTCCCTCTGATGAAGATGGGCACCTCTGTGACTATGGGTATGTCCATCTGATGAAGATGGGCACCTCTATGAGTATGAGAGCAACAGTAGCTACAGCTAATAAGGATGGGTTCGTCCATGAGTATGGGAATACGTCTACTTTCAATTGGTGAGTGAAGCTATGCACAATGGGTATGTTGGCATGAGTGCCTTCGACTGATGAGTGTGGATACCCCAGTTTAACAGTTTGTAGTGGTCTTCTTTAACTTCTTCAGGGCAGCCAATGTGCCATATTTGCCAACATGATATAAAGAGGTTTATCAAAACTCTCATCGTGAAGGTGTTAAAAGAGATTGGTTCTTCTCAAGTAAGCTCAGTTCAATTTGAGTGAGTGTGCACGATTGCTTAGTTGTGTGAGTATGCCTTTCAGAGAAAGTCTTATATTATAAGGCAAGATCTTTGGCTTAAAGACCTTTTTTTACACTAAAAATCTCATCACTCATTGTGTAGGCTACTGCTATTTTGAGAAGTGATGGGAGATACAGTCAGAATTCTCAGATTTGCTGTCACTGCTCTGCTGGATAACTCAACTAGCTCTGTATTGAGTGACAGCAGTTTGTATTGAGTGATAATGCTCTGCACAGAACATCCTGAATGAAATTTCAAACTCTCCATTAAGTGACAATGCTCTGTATTAGGTGACAAAAATCTTGTTGATTGACAGCACTCGGCACAGAGTGTCAGAGATCTCCAAGGAGTGGTATTGTTTTGCATTGACTGGCAATGCTCTGCATTAAATGCCAATTCTTTTTTCTTAGCCATCGTTTGCAGTGGTTGTCACACTTATTGCATGATAACTGCATCATTGCCAGTGCTTCGCATTTAATGACTTTGTATTAAGAGACACTGTTACGCAATCAGAAACATTACTATGTACTGCATGATAATGCTATGCTACGTTTTAAATATTTTTTTTTAATTGCATAATACTGCTTTGCAATGAATGTTAATGTAACGCATTGCATGACAAGGCTCTGTATCGAGTGGCCGTCTTTCATGAAATGACAATGCTCTGCATTGATTGAAATCTCTGTGTTGAGCGATATTGCTCTGCATTGATTGAAATCTCTGGATTGAGCGATATTGCTCTGTATTGCGTCACAATAGTGGCATAACTTTGCATTAATGGCCGTGCCTATAATTTTATAAAACTGTCCTGCATCATATAACAGGGCTCTGTGTTTAATCGGAATACTCTGCATTACCTAAGTGAAATAAGGGATATTGCTCTGCACTAACTGGACATGCTCTGTATTTTGTGATATTGCGATGCATTCACCAGCAGCACTGTATTTACTAACTGATAATGCACTCGTTGGCACAGCTCTGTGTTGTGGCACTGCTCCCCATTAGATGCTTTATTTTAGTGGCACTATTCAATATTCAGTTACAATGCCTAGCTTCTGGCAATGCTCTGCAGACACAAGTGCTCTGCATTGAGTGACATTGCTCTTCAGTGAGTGACAGTGCTCTGTACTGAGTGACACTGCTCTGCACTGAGTGACAAAGCTCTGCATTGAGTGACATTGCTCTGCATTGAGTGACATTGCTCTGAATTGAGTGACATTGCTGTGCAGTGAAGTGCCAGTGCTCAGCATTAAGTGGCATTGCTCTGCAGTGAGTGCCGGTGCTCCACATTGAGTGGCATTGCTCTGCAGTGAGTGCCGGTGCTCTGCATTTAGTGGCATTGCTCTGCTTTGAGTGCTAGAGCTCTGGATTGAGTTGCATTGCACTGTAGTGAGTGCAAGAGCTCTACATTACGTGATAGTGCACTGCATTGAGTGGCTTTTCTCTGCAGTGAGTGGCATTGCTCTGCAGTGAGTGCCGGTGCTCTGCATTTAGTGGCATTGCTGCGTTGAGTGCTAGAGCTCTGGATTGAGTTGCATTGCACTGTAGTGAGTGCAAGAGCTCTACATTACGTGATAGTGCACTGCATTGAGTGGCTTTTCTCTGCAGTGAGTGGCATTGCTCTGCAGTGAGTGCCGGTGCTCTGCATTTAGTGGCATTGCTCTGCGTTGAGTGCTAGAGCTCTGGATTGAGTTGCATTGCACTGTAGTGAGTGCAAGAGCTCTACATTACGTGATAGTGCACTGCATTGAGTGGCTTTTCTCTGCAGTGAGTGGCATTGCTCTGTATTGAGTGGTATTGCTCTGCATTAAGTGGCATTGTACTGCATTGAGTGGCATTACACTGCATTGAGTGGCTTTTCTCTGCAGTGAGTGATAATACACTGCATTGAGTGGCTTTTCTCTGCAGTGAGTGATAATGCTCTGCAGTGAGTGGCATTGCTCTGCAGTGAGTGGGATTGCTCTGCAGTGAGTGACAGTGCTCAGCATTAAGTGGCATTGCACTGCAGTGAGTGACAGTGCTCGGTATTGAGTGGTATTGCTCTGCATTAAGTGGCATTGTACTGCATTGAGTGGCATTACACTGCAGTGAGTGGCTTTTCTCTGCAGTGAGTGATAGTACTCTGCATTGAGTGGCATTGTTTTGCATTGAGTGACATTGCACTGCAGTGAGTGACAGTGCTCTGCATTGAGTGACATTGCACTGCAGTTATGCAGTTATCGACAGTGCTCTGCATTGAGTGACATTGCTCTGCAGTGAATGACAGTGCTCTGCAGTGAGTGACAGTGCTCCGCATCAAGTGGCATTGCTCTGCAGTGAATGACAGTGCTCTGCAGTGAGTGACAGTGCTCTGCACAGAGTGGCATTGCTCTGCAGTGAGTGACAGTGCTCTGCACAGAGTGGCATTGCTCTGCAGTGAGTGGCAGTGCTCTGCACGGAATGCAATTGAATAGAAGTCTCCAGCCTGTATGAAGCTTGGAATGACTGCATCGCTTCAACAAGTGCAATGTTTGTACATTTCAGATTAATTCCTTTATTGCTGCGAACACCGAGAATAGTCGGAAATGTCACAGACTAAAATACTCTGTTAAGATCTCTTTATTGCCACCTTGTAATAACATTACAAAATAATAAAAACTTTCAATTGCAGTTTGCTAGTATCTCATTATCTTTCCACAGAACTTAATGTGGCAGATCAGGCTGAATCATTTTATATTAAATCAGGAGACACGACCTCTACAAACCATCCATAAAATTATCTGAACTACACTTACTGCAAACTTCCATTATATCATTTCAACTACACTCACTGCAAACCCCTTATACCAACCCAAGTACACTCACTGCAAACCCCTTATACCAACCCAACTACACTCACTGCAAACCCCTTATACCAACCCAACTACACTCACTGCAAACCCCTTATACCAACCCAACTACACTCACTGCAAACCCCTTATACCAACCCAACTACACTCACTGCAAACCCCTTATACCAACCCAACTACACTCACTGCAAACCCCTTATACCAACCCAACTACACTCACTGCAAACCCCTTATACCAACCCAACTACACTCACTGCAAACCCCTTATACCAACCCAACTACACTCACTGCAAACCCCTTATACCAACCCAACTACACTCACTGCAAACCCCTTATACCAACCCAAATACACTCACTGCAAACCCCTTATACCAACCCAACTACACTCACTGCAAACCCCTTATACCAACCCAACTACACTCACTGCAAACCCCTTATACCAACCCAACTACACTCACTGCAAACCCCTTATACCAACCCAACTACACTCACTGCAAACCCCTTATACCAACCCAACTACACTCACTGCAAACCCCTTATACCAACCCAACTACACTCACTGCAAATCCCTTATACCAATCCAACTACACTCACTGCAAACCTCTTATACCAACCCAAGTACACTCACTGCAAACCCTTTATACCAACCCAACTACACTCACTGCAAACCCCTTATACCAACCCAACTACACTCACTGCAAACCCCTTATACCAACCCAACTACACTCACTGCAAATCCCTTATACCAATCCAACTACACTCACTGCAAACTTCCATTATATCATTTCAACTACACTCACTGCAGATTTGCACTATACAAACTCAGCTGCACTCAAGCCTGTATTAACCCAATCCACTCAACACATCTGCACTCACTGCAAATGTCTGTTCTATCAATACAGCTGCTCTAACACCAAACCTCCTCTATATCATTCCAACTGTACCCACTGCATTTCACTACATCATTCCAACTGTACCCACTGCATTTCACTATATTACCTGATATCAAACTAACTACACTCACTGCAAAAATCCAATACATCAGCCTAAGTGCACTCACCGCACACCTCTGCTATAACAACCCAAATATCCTCTATATTCAACCACACTACAATAAAACCTCCACTACATCAGCCAAACTGTCCTCTCTGCAGACACCGTGCAGCCAACTGCTAAATCAAACCAACTGCACTCTCTGCATACCTCCACTACATAAATATCCACTGAACCCCCTGCAATCCTCAGCCATATCAGTCCAGCTGCCCTCCCTGCAACCCTCAGCTAAATCAGTCCAGCTGCCCTCCCTGCAACCCTCAGCTATATCAGTCCAGCTGCCCTCCCAGCAACCCTCAGCCATATCAGTCCAGCTGCACTCTCTGCAACCCTCAGCTATATTTACAGCTGCACTCTCTGCAACCCTCAGCTATATCAGTCCAGCTGCCCTCCCTGCAACCCTCAGGTATATCAGTCCAGCTGCCCTCCCTGCAACCCTCAGCTATATCAGTCCAGCTGCCCTCCCTGCAACCCTCAGCTATATCAGTCCAGCTGCCCTCCCTGCAACCCTCAGCTATATCAGTCCAGCTGCCCTCCCTGCAACCCTCAGCTATATCAGTCCAGCTGCCCTCCCTGCAACAATTCCTGCCTTGAACACATGGAGTCAATTAAGAGAAGGAGGGCTGCCCTCCCTGGTGACCCTTGGATCACTTTTCAGCTAGGCTATCAGCTAATCAGTGAGATAGTGAGAACATGGAGGATTCGGTGAATCACTAGGTATAGCAAAGCTAGAAGTGAGACCGTTGATCAAATAGGTTAATTAAATTGTCTGTCAATTGTCAAACGCATTAACCCTTTCCATCCTGATTACCTCCATCCCCTCCAGAGCAGGAGAGGCGTCAAGTGAACCTGTCAATCCACAATCGTGGTCCCCTCTCCAGTGGCATGAAATCCCATCCTCGGCTTGGCTACGAGCGTGCTTGGAACCCTTGGCTGATCGGATATGTCTTCATGCTGTCTGGGTGATACCGAGCGATGTAGCTGAGACTCCTGAGAAAGCCAGACTCCTCCTCGTCAGAGAATAATGCTTGTGTGGAGTACACTAACCCGGTCGTGCAGGCACTTGTAAACTGATATATTTTTCAGCCGGATACTTTTATTAATAAACCTTACAGAGTACCTCCCACCCACCACCCCCAGCACCCACCCAACCTTCTCTCTAAATTAAACACACAGGGAGCTAAAGAGTTAAATCCCTCTGTAATTCTCTATACATAAAGGTTGAGTTTCCTAGCCCTGCTGCCTGTTCCATGTTATCTTCCAGTAGCTGCTTAGCACAATTTTTTTCTCACTTGTCACTTCCTTCTCTCCCTAGCTGTAGCTCCTTATCTATTTCTTCCCCTTTTTCTCTCTTTCATTCCGTATTACTGTTCTCTTTTTTTCCTTCTTTCCCTTTCTGTATCCCTCTTTCTCCTTTTTCCTCCTTCTCTCTCTTTCCTTTTTCTTATCGTTCACTCTCCCTTCCTCCTTCTGTCTACTGCTTCTCTCTTCTTCCTTCTTTCTCTGTATTCCTTCTCTCGTCTCTTTTTTTGTCTCTTTCCTTATTCTCTACCCTTCACTCTCCCCCTTACACTCTCTCTCCCAGTCTCTCACTCTTTCTAAACATTTTCTTCTCGTTTCTTTACCCTTTATTTCGCTTTCTGTGTGTCTCTCTCTCCCACACCTCTGTTACTCTTCCTCTCCTTCCCCTGATTTGTTCCCTCGCTTTTTTTCATTCTCGCATGCTCTCTTTCTCTCCCTATCCTTCTGTTTCTCTGTCTGTCTCTCTCCCCTTGTCCTTCTCTTTCTCCCTCACAGCTTGAGCGATTGAGTTGATGCGCACATGAATCATGCTATCAGTTCTGGCTATATTTACAGTGGCAAAGACAAAACACAATTCAGAAGGTCATTTAGAGATCAGAAGAACAGACCAAAACCAGATACATTTTTATATTTTAATGTCCTTTTTTTTTGTTTTGCAGACTAGATGGGCAGAATGGTTCTTATCTGCCGTCACATTCTATGTTTGCTGTTAGAAAAACAAACAAACAGAACAACACATTAAGACTACACACCTTCTTTCAGTTTAAAAAAAATGTGTCACTATTTTCTTTCTGCCTTTGCAGGGGTATCCTAGCCTTTCTAGGGCAGATTTAAGGATGAAGAGGGAGGAAGTATAGAATGATACGCAAGGGATTATAAATAACTGTGCGATCTATAACACTAAGCATGAACCATCCATCAATCTTTACGATATATATAAAATGTCTAAATGGGTTTTACTCACGATACGAAAAGTGAGCAAATGCAAATTTTTCCAATTATATTGTGACTTTTTGTACACTGCAGATAACTGCAGATTGGGGATTGGTGGGAAGTGTAGTGAAATAATGTCAATAAATAAACGTCTCGCTTTTGTGATTATTTTTATTGTCTGAAAAAAATAATAATTATTGTTGCCTGAAATTAAAAATCTTAAATGATAATCCAATAATAAAAATAAAAAAATTATATTTTCCCTAAATGTATAAATTCTCTGTCAGCTTTTGAAAATTCCTGGTTTAGCAAAGATCCCTGTAATTGTTTTAAAATTACACAATTTTTCACATAGTTTCAAACATAACCCCTATTGTTACAAAAATAGATATTAAGTAAGACGTATCGTTGATTTAATCCAATGATTGAGATCTATATAAGGACCGCTAATAAAATACTAAAGTTCTATAAGTGAAGTGATCACCGTGGTAACAAACACAATGTTTCTGTTGATTTCCTATGGTTTCCATGGTAATTGCTCCACTTTTAGAACTTTGCCACTTCTTATCAGTGACACTTTTTTAAATATTCCTATTGTATCTCAGCGGCAGGCTTGGTTAATGTTCCAAAACATTATCTCTTTCTGTTACGAGTCCCTGTTAAGCAGAACAGAAAATACTCAAGGAAGCCAAAGGATTTGCATACTAGATTTATCACATTTAGATAGCTTTGAACAGAGAATGTCAGTTAGGTAGAGCTCTGTCACTATAAATTAGAGATAATTACATTTAGAACATGTGTTGGGTTTACGGGCACCAACCTTTTTGATTCCGTTGCTGCAATCGTCTTATATCTATGATTAAAATCAATAAAATAAACCTGCTGAGCGCAGCTGTCTACAAGCAAGGTAGCTGATGCATTAAAGCCCTTACTGTGTAGTGTTTACCTCTTGGATGTGCAAATGGCTGTGGGTTATATTTTTTATTGTTTATATAGCACCAACGTGTTTTATAGCGCTGTACAAGCGGATGTCCAGTTCTAAGTGAATCACTTTGAATCAGTGACCGGACCATTGCTACTCTGCTCCCTCTGACATCACATATTCGGTCATTGAAAAAATCTGCCAATGCATATGTGGGCACATGCATTTAGAGCGCACATCAATATGTTTTTAAATTATGCCCGGTCACTGCAATGGCTGGGTTTGGCTTTAAACTACATGTGGCACTGTCTGTAGTGGACCATGGGTAACCTGACTGGTTACCTCCGCTAATTCCTTCACTCTGGAACCATTAAAGCAAGCAGACATCCATTCTCCCAGTAAACAGATGAAGCATAGTTCTAGGAGTCAACTGATTTATTTTCGACCACACGCGGCTTTTATGCACAGACCCCTACATTGGGTCTCCAACACAATAAAACAGGGGTTTCATTCCCAAGATCCTTTGTGCCTGAGAGATAATTTTGTGAGAAAAACCATAATTTAATTATTTCTCAGGTACAGAAAATCTATGCAAAATATACAGTACCCTAAAATTGCCCCCACCATAACCAGGAACCCCACAAAAGTTATATCCCCTGATTGCCCCAATCTGAGTATATAACATATCCAAATATCACTCGGGAATGCCATTGAGGTGAAATTTTGACCGGCCAAACACGAGGCAACAGCCCAAACAGTTCCAAGTAAATAGGTGTCCTGGTCGGTCTCTGTTCAGGGGTTCTTGTGCGAACACCTTGCAAGGGATTCTCTTAATTTCAGGGTACGAATGCTCCCCCTGTTTGGTAGTTCATAGCTCCTGAATGTCGTTTGGATAGTTGGTTGGGAAGTGGAATGGGCAGCGGCCTAATCTTTACAAGGGTTTGTGCGTGCGCCTAGCCGAAAAGAGTTCCTGGCACTCGACGACCAAGTGCCACTGTCCACATTCAGGAGACAAAATGGCCACCATTCCTTTGTTGACCACGCGAATTCGGTTATACAAAATGGCGGCCACCCAGGAGAAGCATTCATTAATGACTTTTCTTGCGATTTCACACTTAAAGCGGCACTGTCATGCCGAATCCTGGGGTTTTTTTTAAGCCCCCTCCGGCCTCCACTACATCTAACTGACACCCTAGTCACCCCCAAATGCCCCTAAGCCCCCCACATTACCTATTTTTTATTCCTTATTTTCTGTCCTGATCTATATTCAGGGCGCCGCCATCTTTGTATGGGTAGATGAAGTCCCTATGGGACACGTCATCAGCCCACACTAGACAGACTGTGAGATTCCCGCACATGCCCAGTGAAACACCTGGACATGCGAACTGGAATTTCATCTATTCATTCATTCATCAGACAGACAGAATGAATGAATAGAAATATCAGCCGAACAAACAAACACTGAATATCAATGTTCGTTTGTTTGTTCAGTTTATTACAAGGAGAGAGCTACCGGCACGCAGCTCCCTCCTTGTAATATGTAACTATAGAAGTGGCAGGGAGCTGTGCTCCCCACCACTTCATAAGCCCCCCAGACCGCTCACTCTATGGGGGTCAATATGACCCCCATAATAGCACTAGGGAGATTAAAATCTCCCAATGCCACTACTCGCTATACCGCGAGTAGGGGCATGTCTACTAAACAGTGAGCAGCCTGTGGCTGCTAACTGTAAAAAAAAAAACTATAGGCCCCCACCCCTAAATGACGGGTGGGGGCCCTAACTAAAATAAGGGGGGAGACCTATTGTCCCCCCCACCCCCACCCCTGCACGGCGGGTGGGGGCCATATTGATAATGAGGGGGGACACCTACTGCCCCCCCCTCCGGCCTCCACCCCTGGCGGCGGGTGGGGGCCATAAAGATAATGAGGGGGGGGACCTACTGTCCTCCCCCCCCGCCCCCACCCCTGGGCGGCGGGTGGGGGCCAAATGATAATGAGGGGGGGGACCTACTGTCCACCTCCCCTCTGGCCCCCACCCCAGAGCGGCGGGTGGGGGCCATAAAGATAATGAGGGGGGGAACCTACTGTCCTCCCCCCCCCGGCCCCCACCCCTGGGCTGCGGGTGGGGGCCCTAAGTAAATTCCCCCCCCCCAGGTGACTAGGGGTCCCCAAGCCCCTAGTCACCCACCCCCACCCAAATAAATAAAAGTTCCTACCTACCCCTCACCCTAAAAAAATAAGTGAGGGGGAATAAAATAACTAACCTGTAAAATAAAATAAACTTAAAATCTCGACGCCTTCTT